GCCGGCCTTCTTACTGCCATTGTCACGGTGTGATTAGCACATGCTTCACCATATTATCAAAGCTCTCATTCGGGTCTAGTCTCGACGAACGACTTTGTTGGACAAGTTCTTACTTACCTGGGGAACGTCGCTTGTGACTGATAGTCGTTCGCAAGAGCCCAGGACTCAGTCAGTTCGCGATTCCTCACTCCTAGCTGCAATACATACTCAGCCAGGTGCTCAGAGCACTCCGTCAGCTGAATCGATTGTCTTGGTGTACGAGAGATCTGACCAATGGTCAATTCGAAATGGATAGAAGGAAGAGAGCATTTTCGCCCTCACGTCAGCCGGCTACATGAGGATTCTGGGTGTCACATTTGCACGGGCAACTGACGAAAACAGCCCTGACCAATATAAAAACCGACGTATTTTTCTCTCGTCTGTTATTCAAGCCGTGTAATGAAAGCAGAGGGTTTGGAGCGGTTCNTGTAATGAAAGCAGAGGGTTTAGGAGCGGTTCACATGAGGCCAATTCCTTTGTGCTTGTTTTAATCATCACGGACTCCAGCTTAGAAAACCGGGACGATATTCCATTCACTCATTAGTCACCTCTGAGTATGAAGAACAGGGATGTTATTTCTTACCATAGCACCTCTCCGCGATATTTGACAAACTTTAGAGACAAGTTATCTGGGTTCCTTGCCTTGTGACAGTTAAGCCTCCCGGTCGTTTCCTAACCGCCGAAGTTGTGGAAGTATCCAGCGTACCAGGTGAAGAAGCGAACGTGGGTACAGTTGGTAGTGCAAAAGATGACAAGCTAAACTGACAGTCGAAGAGTTCCACCCAACCTCTGCGTAGGGTGCATGCCGGTGTGCCATTCGCTTCGCATATGGGCCTAACAACATAATTCATTTTAGCGCCGTTGATATTCATGGGCTCAGTAACTCCAGGAGGCAACAACAGCACACGTCACCAATCTGAGTAACGTTCAAGCTAACATGACTTATGACCCTAACCCTAACCCTAACATGACCAGCTAGGAGACTGCTAGTGATGCTATACATTGGGACGGGAGCCGCATTGTTGTTCTCACATTTCATAGGTGGCTGACGCCGTGTAACGAGCAACTGGAGAGAGCTAACAGAAATAAAATGCCGCTGCACACTGGCCACAACTGCCTGTTGCTGCCGAAGGGGTTCCTACTGTGGTTCAGGAGTTTTGGAGCGTAAAAGGTGTAGATAGATGTTGAACTTATCCTGTAGGTACAAGAAACTGCCATATAAGAATGTCGAGTAAGATTTAGGCGATTCGACACATTTGTCGTGTTTCCACCAAATGTTATTGAAAATTATGCGCATTGCAAAGCATTGTTGGCATCAACAAAAATAGACCATATGGAGCGATACTCCTAAGCACAACTAGCTATCTGTAGTTAAAGGCAATGTGATTGATTGCCATCCGCGCTTGGGCTGCTGTAGCGGGATATCGCATAGTGACACCTGGGTGTAGTAAGCTGTAGTCCGGGCATACACTCAGTAGAATATTCCCGTTATCAGAGCAGGTGATATCGAGGGCGAAAGTACCACCCAAGGGCGCATCCACCGTCGGGAAAAGGCCCATTTTGCTATGTAACAATACAATGTGCTTTGTGGAGAAGTTCGTGTCGCATTTGATAAAAGCGCCTTTCATCTCAGTGAGTGCGCATGAACCTGTGACAAAAACTACGTTTGCCGCCTAGTTATTCATTGGTTCGAAGTTGGCGTTCAAGTGACACTGAACAGAGATGGGTGTCAAGTGGCGTCCATTCAAGTAGAACAATCACCGTCCAGCTCCTCAAAACACTTCTAACATAAGAATGTCCGAAGTAGAAGTTTACAGTCTCCTGAGAGTCGCATGCAGAATTCCGTGGTAGACAGAAAAACAAGACTAGCTTGTACACAAAAGATGAATCTTGCAGACTCGTTTTGTAAGGCAGCATGTATCAGGTCCAGGTATCACCAAGGTTCTAGCCAAACCAACTGGTTGACTGATGCATTGAAACATGAAAGCACGAGGAGAGGCATTGAATTGAGACAGGCTATGGGAATTATCAAGAATCACAGCGTGGTTAGAATAGAAAAATTAAAGATGGCAGTTCTTGGAGGGCGATCATCAGGCTTAGTCACTCACACTAACCAAGAGAGCATTTTATGTTCAAGTAGAGCATAAGGTTGGCGGAAACTCGGGGACTGCGCCTACCTGATGAGCTCCAAGGAGGGTGAAACCGGTCGTGGGCTGTCGAAGAGTTTTCAGCAACCTTGTGAGTAGTTTCCTTTATGAAGACACCCTCCACTGCTTTAGGGGAGAAGCAGAGGAATATAACCACAAAATCGAAATAAGTCTAGTATTTTTGTGATCTTTTGAATGTGAGCACACATTCTAAACCCAAAATTTGGAGCAATTTTGTGCCCAACGAATCTGCAGGGCACCCGGCGACCTGAAACAGGCTGATCCGTATAGAATTTGCATTTTTTCGGATGTATTGAAAGAGATTATCTTAACCATGCCAGATGTGCGTAATTTTTTTTAATATTTATTCTGTGATAGCAAAATAAATTACTGTCCGAGAACGGACAAAGATAGATGACCAGTAGATCACTGTGTCGGAAGGAAGTTTGTGTGGCCTTCCTTCACGCACTCCAAGACAAATTGGCTACATACTCAACGACTCAAAAACGGGTTGAAACTGAGAAGTTTGGTGAAAAAATCGGCGAAGTTATTGCTGAACAGCGCCTATACAGTCATTGGAGAAATACCGTAATCGATTGTTCAGTTGAATCTCCCGTTAATGTGACCATAATTTGTAGATAGATGTATAGCTTCGAGGCGTTCTATAGATTCTTCTCAACAACATTCTGTTATGCGACACAAAGTTGGGGTCTGTTTGACGTAGCTACCGTCTGGTAAAATCCCTTCTCGGGTTGACTACATTTATATATAGATCGTTTTCTGCAGTGGGTGACAGGTTCTGCGGCCACATCGATGAGACGCATACACAGAACGCAAGTATACAAATGCGTTAGTTTTTACCTCTTCCAGATGATCATAGGTTTGCAATCGGTCTATAAGCATCTTGAGTACCCTAGTAAATCCTGTCGTTTCCTGAACATTGTCAGTGCCGAAGTGATGCCCTCTCAGTAGGCAGCCTCATTGTACACAACTCAAGATTTGCTGGACAAATTTTCGTAAAGTGGAGCGGCGAAGTATTCCAACCATCTCTTCCGAATAAGTTTGAAGTGGGTTTGTCGGTAGCATCGCGCTAGGGTGTCTGTCGATGGATGAGACCCTGATCCATTGCGAGTTAAGGCGAAGTGGGGTCTCATAATCTCCTTTATTTGTGCTCAGTGGTGTCCGCGGTCTTTCCAAGCAGAACATGTCGCCGGGATATTCTGATGAACGGGCCGTTCTGGTTGTTGCTGCTCACTTTTTTCAGCGATGGTCAGTTGTTCCTCGAAAGACCCCTGTTGAGACTAGTCTATGCTGCTTTGATGTGCCTCTGGTGTATTGTAAACCACCGGTTAAAGTCTCTCGTTGTCCTGAGCGTTTTGGCATGGTTACATTTACTTATTTGGCTGCTGAGTTTTGTGCGCATGAAGAGACATGGTCTGACACAATTTTGTTCCCCGTCTTAGAGTCGCGATGACATTTGCAGTCCTCTCTTGGTGATTTTCAGCTTGTTAAAGTACTGGCTACGGTTGTCATCTGTGTCCAGTGAGGTGTTTCGTCTAGTGCCTGAAACGTGTATTTGTGACGTAGAGTTGACTAAAGGCTATGGAACTGAGCAAGCAAACTCCATTTCCATGTTGATCAAGCTTGTACTTCCCGGTGACATCCGCTGCCCCTAACTGAGCATGTTAATCACTATTCAGGAAAAATTGTCCTATAATTGCCGTTCAGCTACAGCACCCTTTTGGTGCCTAGCTGCCATGCCACTCGGAGAAAGCACGAGGCCTGAGATACTCCCAGGTTGTCCAAGCATAGACAGGGGAAGTCGAGATACACAGGACGGGTTCGGACCCAGGACCTTCTGATCAGTAACCACTTGAGCCACCTCGTCACCATTTCCTACAGACGGTTACAATATCTCACTCACATCTGGGGTGTAACTTAGATACGAGAACCTGAAAAGGCACCACAGATATTTTTGATGAGTGTGGAAAAGAAGACTGGACACACAGTCATCCAAGGTTAACGCGACTCAACGAAGGACTGGGTGGTCATCAGAACCACTGCAGTATAGCCAGTAGCAGGAATCATCCCCTGCAGTTCTGCTGCACTTCAATCTGGACCCCGGTGGACGGAAATTCGATTGGCGTGAACCAACGATAGGGTAAGCCTACAAGGTTTTGATGGTAAAAAACTGGTTTTTGGGGTCCAGTAGTGAAAATTCGTGGTGCATAAAATTTGACTTGACTAAGATTGTTCAAGGCAAGTTAGTGGGCTACCGGAAAGCTCAGGAGATTTGGAGAACGGGTTAAATCATAAGCGACGGAAAAACTCCGTATCGGTAACAATTTAAACATTCCCAGGCGCTTTGTTCGAGGATGCGTTTCTAAACCTTGCAGATTCGAGCACAGCCGATAAGGCATCAGAGTTTTAAGTGCTGCCAGCTGTTGATAGCCAATTCGACATTCACTGGTTCGTCTGTACATTAGGAAGATACACTGGTATGAATTTTTTCTGTGGCACTGACCCCATATGCTTTGGCTGAAATAACCGGAGTGTTGTTGTCCTCGATTACTCTCTTCGGGTTTTGCTCCAGTGTCGATTTACCGGGGCGCGGCCGCCACCACATACAAACAACTGCTTGGAGCTACGAATGAGTCAGGTATTCAGTAGAGAACAATGACGGATGAAGGGTAAAGCAGTTAGATCAGAAGTCCAGTGATTAGCGTGGCTACGAAACCGTCCATGCTGATAGTTGTAAGAATTCTGTATCAACCCACCCCAAACAAAACACCGTTTGAAACTGACAAGAGAACTATCGAGTATGTTCATAAAAACTCATTGTAGGGTCAAGCAAAATCGTCAGGATTGGATAAGACAACTATGTCAAATAGAAAATATGTGGTAGTGTGAGGATACGCCAGCAGAAAGGATTGGAAAACATTAGTAAAATGTTCACAACCGGATTGTTAAATAACTAGGTGACCTTCTCACTCTACCAATGAGGGAGTATAAAATCAAGGAATTTGAGAGCAACTTCATAGCCAAGGAAACATGCCTGAAAATGAGGGGGAAAACGAGAAACTCGATCAGTTTTAGCCAGAAGCGAGCATCTACAGAACAAATATATGTCTACAGAGCCAAAACACCAGCGCGCAAAAATAGAGTGACTCCAAGTGACCCAGCAATATCAAGAATACACAACTGTTCGGAGAATAAAACGTTTACTAAGATGGCAAAGCTTACCAAACTAGTTTGCCAAGGCGCTATGCTGTCATGGGACCTGCTTAGGCCTCAGAAGGTAGTATTTGGTGACCTGAAAGTGGCTTTCATCAAGCCACCACATCAAACAAGAGCTAAAAGACTTCCCCGGCAGAGCATTTCAATGTGTATCAATAAATTTGTTTGGTTCCGTGGAAACATCTACATCAGTCGAACAACGAGGTAATTATCAAAGCGCATGTTTAGAAACATGCACTTCGTACTGCAGATGGTACAGCTGCGAAACATACGTGGTTCTGTTTTAGCCCACCTTCGAGACACCAGATACATGCTTTTAGGCCAGTTCATAAAGTACAAATGTGGATACCAAATTTCCCAAGAAATCAACTTTTTTCGTGAAGTACATCCGCTTACAGACCAAGTGGACGAAATTGGTTTTGGGCTGTAAAGCAGTTTTCAGAAACCTTATGGATAGTTTACTACAAAATCTGTTTCCACTTGTAAACTTCCGAGTAACATGCTGCGCATAAATTACCAAAACTATCTTTGAGCACCCCTTGTTTATAATATCTTAAAAAGGCCATTTATTGGCTTTCTCACCGTAGTTGCGCACATGTACATTTTCCAAGGTGACAATAATCCTAACGCCTGGTTCAGGCAGGCAATTGTGAAAGATGCGTACGAACTGCAGGGTCTGATATGTCACCATGTGTATTTCATGATCAAAGTCACAGACCTGGTTACATTCAAGCTACTGGAAGCCAGTGAATGCCTTGAAGCGTGAAGTCATGGTAACCAGACATTAGATGTATAGTATTTTTATGCATTTTTTCGGCAACGCCGTGGGATTGAGTAAATAGCGCACAATTTTTAGGACCGCCTACAATCGAGTTACCCACAAACCAGGTAGATCCTGTTTGACGTATGTGAAAAGAGGTCGAAACTCTTTATAGAATGATGCATGACACTGCTGAAATAAGTAGCTGTCGGAATTGAACAAGGTTAATCGTACTAAGACGGCAAATTTCGCCGTTGTCCCAACGTTAGGGTATGCTGTGTAGGAATTCGAGATGCAGTCAGCTACACAACCAGTCAAGGGAAACCCGACACATTGTGCAAACCACTGATGAAATAAAAAAACAGGAACTCTGAGGGCGAGAAAGGAAACAAGAAACACTCACCGCATTAGCGGGGAAGGCACGTAGGAGGACTGGAGTAACACCTCGATAAAGTGCAAAGAAGCCTTCTTTAGCGATGAGTTCTGAAAACACTGATCGGATTCCGTTAGGGTAACGGCCTTCAGGGGCTACAAAACAAAGAGACTTGTTGGTTGGCTGGAAGTGAAGCCTAGAATCTCGGAAAAATTTCACAGGTTATATTCCCATCTGTACCATCGTTCTGGGTAGTTAGACGCCACACAGGGAAGTAGTCAGGGAATAATACAGCAAAAAACAACGGCATGGAGTCTACTTATAGAAAAACTGAACTTACTAGCACCATACGCAGACAAACATCACATACGGGCAGCACCATAAAGGGACATCTCACACCAAACAGTCCATCTATGGTACTGTTCTGGTCTATTTAAAGCGGACGAAGCACATACATCCCCAGAATTTGACAGAATGCTTACCACTCTGGTAACGAGACTTGAGGACATCAGGTGGGATGGCCACCAGCCAGTTGAATATGCCAGCCATTCCGCCGGCAAACAAAGTTTTCCCGACACTCAGTTCGTCACCGCTGTAAGTGAAAGTAAATAACTTAGAGAAGAATTTAATAGTAGGGCACTGAAATCAACAAAATCCAAAGATTGCTACGATTCCTTCCGTAAAAGGAGTTGAGTGAACAGCGATAAGGAAAAACTACAATGGACATTCAGTGCTGAAGTGAGTGGAGTGGAATTCAAAGACCCCAGAACATTCTCAACACAAGGTGATCCGAGGTTGTGCAACGTGTGTCAGTTTTTTTGAGTGTTAGTAAGATATTATCGAAAAAGTTCAGACATGGCCATCTGCCAATCGGGTCGAAAGTCTAAACGATGAGTAGATGGCCATCAGTCTCGTCATAATCGGGTTGCAAGGGAACTTGCAAAACGTCTCCGTCGACTGGGATACACCTTCTTCGAGGATTTGAGAGCACCTACTTCGACGTCCTTCATCAAACCTGACCTAGTAGCTGTTCGAGATCGCCGTGCAACTGTAATAGACGTCAGCATAGACTCGGATGGGCGTGGGGTGACTGTGTGGGATATAAGAAGCAGAAGTATGGTGCTGATGAATATTCCCTCGCCATAATCTCAGCCCTACATGCCGTCGGTTATGTCGACTTTTTGGTTCAGCAACCGATGATCATCTCTTATCGAGGGATCTACTTTCCTCAATCCGCTAAAGCTGTTATTGGACTGGGACTTCCTAAGGTCGCAGTCAGTGACTCGTATTTGCTTGCCATTTTGGGCTCTCTGCGTACTTATGACACTTTTATGCGTTTCACATGGCGCTGAATGTACATTTTTGCCATTTAAGCTCACACCAGACCAAGTATGACGAACAATTTGTGACTGATGTGCGAGTCTTGACTGTGCTAGAGCCTACCGCGCCTTGAAGAGCGTTCAACATTGTCCTTTCTTCGGTTGCTGGTCATTAGACGCGTGTTTCCATATCAAAATTTTTACATACTTTGGGATTCATCTCATCAGACTGGAACTGTTCTTGGCATGATTTCGAATGAGACGTTTCGCTCTTTTCTCCCATATTCTCCTGTTACCCGTTCGCATTCATCGCCTGCATTCACTTTTTATGTTTGTGACCATGCTCTTCAAACATAAATGATAATAGTAGTATGACGAAAAACACTTCGATGTTTAGCAGCGGGGTTGGGTTTGCCAACCAGACTGTGCTGTAACATATAACCGGTTTAAAGAAGAATTCCCGGATGCGCTGATGCTCGTTCGGTGCCCAAGACACTTTTGAACCCTTGACGGAATATATAGCCTTTTGACGGCCCACAACCGGTTCCGCCTTTCTTCAAGAATATCATAAACGAGGAATTCATCTGGTATTCAGTTGAGCCACGCGTTAAAATCAGATTAACTTGCAAATGAGTGTATTTCGCGTATTTCTGAACTCAGCACGCCGATCAATACACGAAAGAACAATTCAGGGGTGAGGCCAGCAAAATGCACACCCGATCGACCGGCGTAACACCAACACACAGCGTACGCTACACAACCCACAACAGTGGCTTGTTAAAACCACCTTGCGGTTGCAATACTGATACTGAGAATTGAAGATGAACGCGGCATTTCAAACCGAGTGCATGCTACTGTAGCTAGCACAGATCGGTTTGTGGAACAAACTGCACTTGTACAGTTACTTTCATATATAAAACATGTGATGTGAATAACTCAACCTCCACGCCAGCCATCGATACCGGAATAAACGATTCTCAGGTAACGACAAAACAGACATTTTAGTTGAAATGTTCGTTGAAGGTCCTAAAATAAATCAGCGTGATGGTTGAGTCCGACAAACAACCTAATTAAAAATAACGCTTGCCGTTGACTGTCACTTTCCCACCGGTTTGTTCAAGTGAATAAATATACCGGATTACTTGGATGAGGACCCTAATCGTCCTCCTGTCTAGGTGTGGGCGCCCTGGCAGTATCCCAGCCCACGTACAGCCATGAACTGCACATACACAAATAAACACATCCAACATCGGCCGTCGCGTGGTGCAATCAGCCGGGTCACCTTACTTGCTGCATACAGCAGGGATGGTACGCGAAAACAGGCTACTGCTGACGCCTCCGTTCTTTCTTCTTCACATACTTTCCTTCCCCCTCTCCCCACCTCATTAATAACTCTCTCCTTGTAGGCCCCTACTTAGGACTGATGACTCCGATCGTCATACATCGGTTTTGCGTGCAACATCTGCTCGTCACATGACGCCGATATCTTCAGGAGTCTCCAAACCAGTCCTCAAGCCTCGACACCCAGTCTATCTGGCCGCGTTCAATGTCCGCACTCTGAAGCAAGCAGGACAACAAGCTGCTCTTGAACTCACACTGGACTCGCTTGGCATTGATATGTGCTGTGCCTCAGAAACGAGAATTCAAGATGCAAGCACAGTGATTGAGTTAACCGCCCCGTCAGTCTCCACTCGCTTCCGGCTACGCACCTCTGGTGATCCAGAGGCTGCTGCGGTGGGATGTGCAGGGGTTGGTATTGTGCTAAGTCAAGGGGCGGAAGTGTCCTTACTTGACTGGATACTCGTTGATAGTCGCCTCTGTGCGGTTCGTACGGCAACGTCTGTGAAGGAGTCTCACAAGCGGCAAGTTGACAGATGTCTGTTTGTTGTGTCTGCCTACGCCCCAACTGACTGTAGCTCCGACGCTGTCAAATACAGGTTTTACGACGCCATGAATGCCCTGCTGCGGCGACTAAAAGCTCAGACATCGCGGTGATTACCGGAGATATGAATACACAAGTGGACAGGCTTAGTGCATCTGAGACTAAATTAGGAGGTCGACATGGACTGGACTCGTACGTACGGACAATGGGGAACGATTGCTTCAGCTCTGTGCTGATCGCAGGCTGTTTTTATGCAGTACCAACTTCCGAACTACCCGAAGTCGTCTGGCCACATGGTGTCGTCCAACGGCATGCCGGCCACAAACTCAAATAGACCACAGTGCCATCAGCTACCGACGGCGCGGATCAATTACTGACTGCCGGTCGTTTTGGAACATATTTGTGGACTCTGACCACGGGCCCGTCCGGAGTCGCTTCTCCCTATATTTCCCTGGGCCGCGTAAGCTGGAGACAAATCGCTTGGCAACTGAAAGAGTGGCAGATCCGGATGTCACACGGACTTACAAGAATCATCTTCTAGAGTCTCTTCCAAATGCTCCACCATCAGATGTGAACTCATACTGGGACGAGATTGCCATCTCTTTGCATAGTGCTGGGAATTTCGCCTGTGGCACGACCCAATTAGGCGGACACAAGTACTGGATATCAGACCGAACGGTGGCACTGCTTAAATCTCGAAGAAATACCCCAGCCAGTACCGAACATAACCCGGTCCGAAGAGCTATTACACGTCAGGTGAAAGTGAGCTTGCGATCCGATCGTGAAGTATGGTGGACACAGAAAGCCAAGGAAATGGAAAAGGCCCAGAAAGCCGGTAATGCCCGGAGATTATTTCAGTTGATCCATGCGACCGGACCCCGGAAACCACCTGTGAGTGAAACCATCAAGTATCAGAATGGAACGACCAGCTCGAACAAAGAAGAACGCCTCGACCGGTGGGCTGAATACTTCAAACAACAACTGTCGTGGCCACCAGCCGGCACTCATCTAGAGCCCACAGGTGAAGTAGAACCCTGGACGGTGGACGTGGAACCACCTACGGCCTTGGAGGTTTACGACTGCATATGTTCTCTCAAGCGCCACCGAGCTCCCGGTCCGGATGACCTTCCACCCGCACTGTTCAAAGACGGCGGTGAAGTCCTCAGTCAGCGCTTGTCCGATCTGTTTGCTTGCATTTGGGAAAAGGAGTCTGTCCCAGACAACTGGGTAGAATCGACGATAGTGCTCGTTTTCAAAAATGGGCGCGTAGTGAGTGCGGTAACCACAGGGGGATCAGCTTGAACCCGGTTGTAACGAGACTGTTGGCGTCAATTGTGCTTCGTCGCCTTACGGTGGCTCGTGAGACACTGACTCGAGAGCAGCAAGCGGGATTTCGGCCTGGTAGGGGTTG